GAGAGAGAGAGAAGAGAGAGAGGAGAGAGAGAGAGATCACATTCTTTTGCAGTCTCTTTATTTCTTACTGCCAGACGACCGCTTCGCTGGCGAAACAAGAGCATTTTCCGGCGAATCGGCTCTCAGTTTTTTACTTTAAACAGATTTTAAACTTTATATGATTCTAAATTAGCGATTCATTGTTAGCGATTTTTTTCTGTATGAATATGTGAATGTGTATACACATGTATACATGTGTTACGTTTACATATAGTTTTATTTATAACTCTGACAGAAAAATCGAAATATCCAAATAGATTTATACATTTTAGATATTTATATTGTCAGAAAAACGTTGATAAATCCAATTTTACTTTGTTTTAAAAACCTAACAAAGTTACATCTCAATTCTTTTAGTGAAAAAAGTTTGCTTGAAAAATAAAGTCGATGCCGAGGAAGTGTTGTGCCGCTCTGAAATATATATTTTTTAAGCCAAAAAGCGTGCCGAAAGCATAAGCACTTTCGTTCGTTGCACAATCGAGACTTTTTCATACGTCTCGTGTTTTTTAGGAGTACAAAGACTACAGAGACGCGGAGGACATAATGCCCCTTGCCACCAGCGACTTTCGTAACCCAGTGTGTCAGGAAATGAGGTTCCTCAGGTTCAGCAGCGGCAGCGGCAGCGGCGGTGGTAGCGGCGGCGGAGGTGGAAGCGGTGCGGAGCAATTTGGTTCATTACTCGTGGAGCCGAGGACGTCTCCTATTCGACCGCCGGAAATGTTGAGCTTAGTGAGGATATATAATGAGCAAGGAAACTACGCCAAGATGTACAATGAGCAAGGGAGCGTTGACAGCTCTGATACATATGCGAGTTGTCAGACGCATCCATCACATTCACAGGTATGCGAGTCGATGTCCACCAAAACAGCCCATCTTTTTTTATTATTGAAAACTAATATAAGAAGCAGATTCTCTCCCAAAACATTTCATAACAGTTTATTTTTAATTTTGGTCGGCGTTAAATCTTTCAAAACAAAACATTTAATAACTGCGCGTAATACTTGACGTACATGACGGGGAGACATTTGTCATTCCCGCAAGAAAGTTATACTCGAAAGTTTCAAAACAAATTCTTTGCTTTCACAGGGCGATCTAACCGAGGAAATGGACAGCAATCTTTACGTGAATCCTCTGGAGGCAACGGAAAAATGCGGTCGTGTGAAAAAATCCATTTCCGGCGAAGTCGGCCGTAACATCATTTCCGATGCGTCACCCAGCGTTGAATCCTTGAAGGACATCCGCCCTTTTAACGAAATCAGTAAAATCAACTTGAACGACACGATACCCAAGCATAGAAAAATAAGGATCCAACAAGTGAGTCTTTTAATGATTTTCTATAACTTATCTCAAACACAGCACTTATCTCTATCCATTCTATTGTGTGCAATTGTTATTGATATGTGGTATTACATCAACGTATGAAAGAAGAATAGGAGAATGCGACTAATGAATCGATAAAAAGTGTACAGAGAGTATGAGCATAATCCCAAACAAGTATTATAGGAACACTTACAATGTTTTAGATTTTTGACGTAGTAGGATAAACGCGACACTGCAATATTTCTCAATAAGAAGAAATTATTATTTCGTTTTTTAATAATTTTATATTATGATTATGGTTAAATGGTTTTAATGATTTCGTGTAACCACTGTCATGATACATATTATCCTTGCAAGATATTGCGCTGTCACATTTACTCCACTCTCATAATCTCATTTTAATTAACTGTTTCGTTAAGAGTAGCTGTTAATTAGCACCAAATACTTTCAATTAACAATATAGTGCAGGAATTTTTGGCAAACGCAGTAATAAAATTTTAAAAATTTAATGAGGAAGAAATTTTGTAGTAGTTGTGTATCACTTTCAAAGGAGGAATATGCGAATCACGTCATCGTATGATCATGCACAACCGTACGCACTCATACACCGCACCCCGCTGCTTTTTTCAGCCGCAAAAACCACCGAGACATCAAGCGGAGCACAGTTGAGCGCTCGCCACAGGCTATCGCACTTTTCTGAACACTGCGATGCTCGTCAGAGGGGAAACGCGCAATATCGCACGTTTGGCACTCGGATACGGAAGTAAGCTCGTTCGCAGCGTGACGCAGCGTGTCGCGCTTGGTCGGCGACAAATAGCGGGTATCGTTCACCTTGTGTCAGGGAACTGTCATCAAGGCCAATGACATGTGCACTGGATCTGATAAAAAACATAGAGAAGCAACATTTTTATCGAACTGTCGGCCAATGTTTCTCTAACCAAAATTTAAGTTCGGATTTGATTTGATGGAATTAGAGTCGTCAGTTAAATTTTCGAAAAGCGGACAAATTTCTCCTTTTCCAATTAATTTTAATTAAAATTTTTTATTATTAAATATCAAACATTCTAGAGCTTCGAAATGTGAGTTTGGTAAAATTTCCGCTGCAAAAATATGGCATCAAATTCGATAAAAATACAATCTATTACTTTTCGCGCTTTTTATCAAACAGCTATGTACAATATATGTAGACCAAGAATTGGCATAATTATTCCACATTAAGCAGAGAGAATAAATTTGATATCAAACTTTTAGTTTACGTTGCAAGATTTGAGTAATTCCATCAATTTTTTCAATAGTTTTAATTCATCATATTCAGATTTTTGACCCTTCAAACCAGTATAATTAAATGTAAAATTTTAATTAATCTCAATATTGCATAAATATTTCTGCAAGTTTTCATTTATAATATTTACATATATGACACACGATGATGATCACGGTAGTATACTATTGCAATGATACGCGTATACCGCGGTGATATACAGGTGATACAATCATAGTACAAAGAACCGAGCAAAAATAAGTCGAAATTGCCGAATAATTTTTTTTCTTTCAAAGTTTTGTTTTCCAGAGTAGGTTTTTTTATCTTTCTGCTACAATGTAGCATATAGAGAATTGAAATTATGCTGAAAAATTATTCGCTGTCTAACAAACAAGAGCACATTTTCTAATGATACCGGTAATTTTTCTTTGTAAAAATACGCAGATAAAATAGTTCTGTTAATATATTTGGTAAAATACGCGGGCCAATAATATTGTCCCTAATTATCTCAGCCCATACTTTCACGCTACATCTCTCTTGAAAATTTATTTGACAAATTACACATTTCGAGTTTCTACAGCAAGGATTCTAAGCAAGGACTCACATAGCAAGCAGTCATTATCTAATAAGGTTCTTCTGTCATCATAATAACCGATTATGACGTCATGATTAGTAATTAAGACGACAAAAACACGGCAGATAATGACCGCTTGCTACTTGGGGATACGTAATATGAACATTCAAAACACCATTCGTGCACGTGTATTCGACGCGATTTTCAAACTTACTATAAATGAAATCAATTCATTAGTATTAGCAACTCTGAACTCTTTCTTTGCCCTCAGCGCTGTTCATTCATGGTCATTGCTCACATTGCACGTGATTGTCTATTGTCAGGGTGGGGCCGTAGACTTCAAGATTACATTTACATCAATTGTTTACGTATTGTCTACGTAAGCACTGACTTTTTTATGACAATGCAAACTATGTAGACTACTATAAAAGTTAATAATTAGTGACCGTTAGACAGAGGAGAGAGTCCGGAATTCGGACCGAAACGTCTCTTTTTGTTTCGTTTTGCTATTTTTTTTTGTTTTGTCAATAAATTACCCCCCCCCCCCGCCACAAAATACTGCATTTGTATTTTTA